AATTATTACAGATAGGCCTGGTTTCATCGCACTGCATTCTGATTAGCGAGGACTCGCAATGGCAAAGTATATGCAATGAATGAGTCAGATGCAGAGATCTAGTGAATACGCTTGTATATCGACATCGCCAGGCACAAAAATGGACTTTCAGTTACGTACATGCAAAGGTAACCCTATGATGGAAGAACGATAAAGAAAATTCTTGAGCAGAAAACTATCTCTGTATCTTATTGAAAAACAAAACATTACATTGTAATATGACAATTAATATCAAAACGTTAAAAACATTGAATCGTCCGTCGTACATATGTCGAGTCAAGTAGTACTCAGGTACAAGCGAACATAAGATTACAATATCTTGGCACAGGACCAACATCAATATTCAATCGTATGAAAAGCCAATCGATAAAAAAGATAAACATACTTTGACACGTCTTGCCTTACATCTTTGACAGCCATTCCTCGATTTCTTATGATACAATCTTGGAGCTTTCACTTTCTTCTGTCCCTGCTTCTGATCATCATCTCCCCCCTCCACATCTGGATGATTCGCATCAGGACTCAGACTATCATGGGAATTCCGGAACGACTGCGAGGAAGACAGTTCCTGATTCGAAATCCGTACATCCGGCCCTGATGCCCTAAAACCGGCATTATCATCCCCACTCACGAAATGCGAATCCGACGCAAAAGAAATTGATCTCGAGTCGATTCCCGACCTCGCGGTGTGAGAGATCGATGCATCGAAATTTCCATTTCGACCATCTCCAGAACGCTGATCTAAACGAACATGCAGATCCGCGTCCATGCTTCCCAGACCAGGCCGTGCCGCGTCTGTTTTGACTGTAAGATAACAGCCCTAAAGCGAACCGTGGCCCACAATCCACGTGTCGAATCTGACGTCTGTTTCCAGGTGCGTCAAAGACCCGTAGGATCTACACCTTATTTTCCGATTGACAGGTCACGCTATGTTCTCTTCTGAAGAAGTATGGCTGCGGAAGGCGCTGTGCAGACGAGCGGGAATCAGCGGGAGAGAGGGTCCGGGAATTGCGGAAATTCGAATTGGCTGGTAAGTGCATGTAATCTCCTCTTGTGAACGAGGAATTGGGTTCATTTGATGGGGTAAAGAGGAGATGTCGTCGGGTTCGGTATCGTATGTTCAAGGGTGGGTAGGAGGATTTTTGGGTGCTTTAATGCTGCTTTTGATAATTGTGGTTATTTTGGGGTGGCTTACTTGATCTCAGGGGCTGAAAATGACGGTCAAAGTTTAGGGCGGCGGGAAGTGGGATGTGTTTATCCGGGAGCGAAAAATAACCCCATTGGTTTTTGGAAAGCAACATCATTTGCAAGATAAAAATACATGTTTGCTGCTGCAAACTCCCGAAAAACTGCTTGATCTCCCAATGATATTTGCAAACGTTCGTTTGATTTTCAAGGGCTGGAAAGCCATGGGCATTCAGATTTTGAATGCTACAGTTGGAATTGAACACGGGATGATATTCGTCTGAATTCTTGGGATCACCAAATACATCTCAGTCCAATTTCATTGATAAAAATGAATATTCGCAGTCGATGTTGGAATAATATGCAGAAATACTTGCATGAAAAGTAAAGTTCCCGTTCCATCTTGTCTCCCAAAGACTTATTAAAGTACAGGTATCAAATAGCTCTGATCCTCATCTCACCCAAACACAAATTAACAGAAACCCGTAGCTCCAGCAAATTTCATAGCGGCCAAGATCACCTAGTCATCTCATCATCCCAGTTTCATATATTCATCCCATTGTACTGCTATTATTTCTTGTATATCGTTGCTCTGCTCCCTATCCCGCTCAGAAAAGGCCACCTCCTGGAACGGCCAAGAAGATGACCGTCAAGACGACAGCCACACCGGTACCGATGAGCAAAGATTGCAGGAAAATTATATCTTGTATCTGTCTCAATGCCGGCTCCTGTACCCAAACCTCTCGATCAAAGATTTTTCTAATAACAAATCTCTTCTCGTATTTCTTGACCCAAGGATACTCTTCGTCCTTTCCGCTACAAGATGTATCGTCCAGATACATGGCAGAGTCCTCAGACTCCCATAACTCCCAAGGTCGAAGATGGCGATGATGAAGACCATGTAGTACAACACACATCCCTCTGAATGCTGCATACAGTGTAGAAATGCCCAGGACCCAGAACAATGCCGAAAATGCACGCCATCCTCGGGACATATTACTGAGGGTTGTAAGAATTGCGTACAGGAAGCCAAAAATAATAAGAGCGACACCGAGACCCTTAGCAAACGCTTGACGTGGTTTGTTGCCATTGCAAATACTCCAACGGATAAAATTGGGGTGTGCCTGATGTCTCAAGCTAGATTCAACGGTTTCGACAATGGGTTGGAAGGCAGACGGATGAGTTGTGGTTGAGAGACGCCCAAGAAGAGTATTTCTTTGACGTGAGGATAGATTAAGTTGACGAGAACCATTATCTGCAATATATATGGCGATGATTCGATCAATCTCATCACGATAGGGTAGATTAATATCTGGTCATGGGGTAAGCTTCAAGTTGCGGAGCAAAGGATTACATTAAATTACCTGGAATTTGAATACCAGCACGACTGAATGTTTGCTGGGTAATCGAACGGTATGAATCTTGTGCCGCTGGTCGAACCTCCATTAATGATCCCCCTTCTTTGTCGAAACCTGTCTCCCAAGGAGCCGTAACCTCTGGCAGAGGATTTATTGTGGTTTTGATTGTGCGGGTAGTCATTGGCCGCTTATCATCCGCAGCATCATCAAAGCCAACCGCCGAATCATTGTGATGTTCAGATGAACCAGAAACCTGGCGTTCTGAAGAGGCTGTTGCGGGTGGGGTTGAGAAGGGATTGGATGGGTTTGAATTTTCGAAACGAGATGTGTAATCTCGAAACCAGAGGAAGAACTGAAGGTTCTCTGGAGCATGCTCGATGAACTCGAGATAGTTCATAAATTCTCTCACGGTCATTGGCTAAAAATAAGTGGTCAGCAATGTGATGAGGCACTGAGTGTAAGTGATACAGGCGCTGTAATCACTCATGACCGGAACATATCGAGTCTGTTGTTCCGGCAAATGGTCAAAAGAGAATGGCCCATAGAAATATAATAGAGCTTGGTCTTACAGGGCATGTTCCACCATTGATAATTTTGTCAAATGTGAGGGCATCCGGAATGCCTTGAGATAGTTTGCTAGAGCTTTTCGAGGGCGTCCGAGATAGATCCATGCTGGAGTCTCTTGAAGATTTTTCCGAACTTGAGTATGAGTTTCTGTATTCAGGACGACGATAGTTGACGTTTGAGAAAACCTCCCCTAGGTAAGGTACGAGGCCCGACATGATTGCAGGTTATGAGTGCCAAAAAGTACTCAATTTATGTGGTTGAAGATGTGAAACAAGGAAACAGTAATTTGTTAAAAGGATATAAAACACTAGTGATTTAGGGAAAGATCGTGAGAATCAAGGGTAAGAATGATGCTGATATGAAAATAGAAGGCGTTCAAAGGTTGAAAGGAAGGCACAATGGTGACTGAACTCAATCTATGTATCAGAATGACTGAACAACTACACATCAATGTGGGTGAATCGAAGGGGTTTAAAATCAGTGGGAGAAAGAAAAGAGAGACCGCCCGATATCTATCTCGGTATATATATCCTGCTTTTGGGATTGCTTTATAAGGAGTACATGAGTATTAGATGTCCACTTAGGCCATCAACCTTTTGCAAGTTTACGCATGTGAAGATGGGAAGGTCGGTTGCCGCTCCAGGCTCGAATTCCAAACCGCAAGCATCATCCTTATTACTCTGTCCACCGTTCGAGACGATTGAGTATGTGAAGGTTAATTTTTGAGTATGCTCTCAGATTATTGACAGCCTGTGAGGAAAGATGCCATGACAATGTAGGACGTGCGGAAAGCCTAGCGAGCCTAGCTTCTCTTGCCTCGATTAGTGCCTAATTAGGCTTTACTTGCACTTTTCAGTAACAAATATGTGGGCGGGGTTCCCGAGATACGCCTCTCTGCTCTAACAATTGGCCAATGGCTAGTGAGAATCGCTACTCATCTACAATACGACCTTGACTAAACGTGCAATCGAGGTTCATCTTGGTACTCCACCCCCGACGCGATTATCTACAAAGCACGTGGCACTAGGACGTAGATCCGAATTTGACGTTTTCTTTCCTCCATAGAACTTTGTATCCCTGTTAAACGTAAAAACTTGCAATCTTCGCGGAAAACGTCTAACTTTGTTGAGAGGTTCGGCGCGAAGCCGAGCGATCAATAAGGTACAAGCGAAACCGGGAGCGAGGTCACCATAAAAGGTTTGGATAGGCGAGAAAGCTCCCTGTATGGAATACCCAAATTTGAAGTTCTATTCAGAATGAACAGGCCAATTAAAGCGTTTGAACTTGTTCATTGGACTTTCACGATGGGTCTTCAATCTCTCCCTCCTATGTGAGTCTGTGACAAACATCCTGTGGAGTTGTACAGGTTCGATGGAGAACCAGATCAAATTGACAAAGTTTGACTGACGCGATGGATGTATGTATGTGTACACTATATACATATCGAGGAATCGAGCTAGAATGAAGAGGCTCGCAGTTAACACGGATGAACGCCCACTTCGATGACAGATGGACCGACCAATTCATGATGTACTATGTATGCATCCAACAATACCATTAATAAGCTTTATATAGAAACTATCCAGACCAAAAATTAAACAGATGATAGATTCACGAATTGATGGAATTAATAGGATGAAATGTGAAAGCGATGGATGCTAGCATTGCAGGTGTTTCCTAGACATTTGACGGAACCATATCTGGATCATATATTATTGATATTTATTAATACATCATATGTTAACGGCGAACGGTAATGAAGACCGTGGAGAAAAAATCGATTATGCATTGAGCATCTATTATGGCTACCAATCTTATACCACAGAAACAGTGTAACCACACACCATTACTTCACCAATGTTTCTCCGAAATCTCGACTTCATTAACATCCACCCCTTCTTTAAACCACCTCTCGTCATGTCCAATCTTAACATCATTCCCACTCATCTGTCTCTTCCTCATTCTCCCATCTTCTGCAAACGTCCAATCCTCAAGTCCATAGCATCTCCACCACTGACCATCCTCATCGTAAAACTCATACCAGAATTGTACTGCTATCTATACACATCTCATTAGCACTCCCTTCATACGATATCAGAAACATGCATACCTTGTTCTCCGCAAATGCAAATAGTTCTTTCCTCAATCTATATCCGTTTTCCTTTGCCCACTTCTTGGTCAGAAATTCGACGATTTCATCTTGGCCACGAATAAACGTATCGCGGTTTCTCCAGATGGAATCTTCGGTATAGGCATTCTTTACTACTTGGGGATTTCTATGTTTTGTTATTGATATGCTGATGACTATGTGAGAGGAACAATGAGTGCATACTTTGTGTTCCATACATCCTGTGCAGCTTTAACCTTGATACGAGCGGTTTCCTCGGTGAAAGGTGGAACGGGTGGTTTGGTTGTTGCCATTGTTTATCATAAAGGTAGAGAATGAATCACTTTAGTTGTTGGAGATGGATTAAGTATGTAAATATCAGATGAGATGAGATAATACGAGGGGAATGTTGAAGTTCTTTGTACGAGTATATGCACAATTGATTACTGTTGCATTCCAACCATGAATTATATATCTATTCCTTTTACAGCCATCTCTACTCACTCAGCTCAACAGTCATTGCGGGAGATCATATCCGCAGATGATTGTCAGCATTCTTATCCGCGAATAACCTCAAACAAACCAATCAAGACATGCCCAGGTAATGAACATGTTTGTTTCCATCACCGAAATCCCGGTCTTTTTCTCATCAGATCAAAAAATCTTCAGAATCCCGCAAGGGCCGCCCCCAATTGCGAATTCCGGAAACTATTCAAATACCTATTCGACGTGAGATTTCTGGTATGGACTTCGTATACTCTGCATAAATGATACATCCAAAATCCGACAACTAGGTATTATATACATCCTGAAATCTCAGGTCTTACTCGAAGTGAACATCAATGTGAAAAGGCGACGAACACGTGATGGCGTGAATTCCGCGGTTTAGCCGTCTAGGACCGCTCGTAATGAGTTAAGTACAGCCCATCAATCAATCCTCACTTCTATCTCCATGCATGCAATTCAAGCACGAAAGGCACATCAATAACAACGATTCGATATTTGTGAACTCCCAGTAAATTGATTTGATCAATTGAGTTAGTGGCATAGGAACTTGCCACTGCTAATGCCGTCCGCCGTTTCCAGTATGTACTAACATTTAATTCTCCCACGAATACACAGTCTTCCCCTCCTCAAACTTTCCACCCTTGGGTCTCCACATGAGCCAAACACGATACGGCTTAGGCGCAATGGCTTCCTTCAACTTCGCAAACTCCTCTTCATCGCCCTCTGTAGCAGGTGGTACCTCAAGGAAGAAAGGGCGAACAATGACGAATCCATGGGCTTTGTACAATTCACGTCCATCATCGGTAGACTCTACAAATGCTTCGAGTCCCATTTCGTCGGCGAGCTTGCAACCCCATTGCATCATCAAGCTACCTGCTCCTTTACGGCGGTGCTCTGGATCTACAAAGCAATAATTCAAGACTGGTATTGTCAGACCGAATTGGTATTTATTCAGTATCATTGAAGGAAGTGCGAGAATGAGGGGTGCTCACGCAAGTGTGGACGATTCATGACTGAAGGGCGACCCCCGAAGAATGTCTCGAAGAAATCGTCGGAAATTGTCTTCAGTGGACCTGCATTCAGATGTGTGGTCAGCAGTCATAATAGTCTTGGGGTTGTCAAGTAAAACCATGTTATACCTTCTGGCCACCAAGTGGCTTTCACAATCGGCTGTGGCTTTTCGAAGGGATTTGTTTCATGGACAATCCACTCAGCGCCACTGATTGACTTATTTCCATCCTTTACAGTGAGCCAGTGGCTATTTGGGGTGCCCATATGCCAAGCCCATTGTCGCTCAGCACACTCGTCGATGTTGGGACCTTTGAGGACTTCCCATAGACTGTTTGCTGGCGTTGCATAAGCTCTGTGCTCGACTTTAACCACTTCAGCAAAGTCCGCTGCGTTGGTAATTTCTGATAACTGCAGGGCCATTTTTTAATTGAGGATCGAATCGAAAAGTCGTTTTGTCGTCGTGTTTGATTTATTGTGGCTCGCGAGGTTGTGCCGAATGATGTGCTCTTAGACGTCTAAGAACAGTTTAAATATCTGGGATCTAACTGCTGAGACCTCTTCGGTATAAAATTCGCCCAACAGTTATAACAGTTTCGGAGGTATGCAGCCGTAAGGCAGTGCAACGTGCAGGTCTCGTGCGTTTCATTTACTTACCCAGGTTTGCAAGATCTCTGCTGCCGCAACCGTTGACGGCGCGATACAGTGCGTGAGGGGCTCCATTCACTCGCGGAAACCCCTGCTATACTCTTTGCATGTGCCGCAGCCTTACACACTCGGTGTGGACTGTGCCTCGAGTGCACATTCAATTCGATAAGCGCAACATTGAACCCTGAGCAATTGCCACCTACTTGCACATACCTACTGACCCATGTTTGTCTAGTTTACAATTGTGGCTATGGAACTTTTATGAAATCAATTTTGAGAACTTCTTACGAATTCTCTCAAAAATTGAACTACATCTTCCTTCAGATCACGTGCACGGTATGTTGATATTATCTGAAATTGTCTGCCACAACCGCCGACCGTTACGTCTATCACTACTAGTATTTCTGCTGGTGTTTCCACTCAGGTCCAATCAGCACTGGTGAAAGTCCAACTCCTCTTTCCAAATTCCACGCTTCCAAGTTATCAAAATCTACGCAAACACGCTCCGTTTGTCTTTGTGCGTGGCTTTTGCGTGCCATTACGCTCCCATTGGAAACTATAAAGAACAGTGCTTCCAGAGCAAATAATGGATTGCCTGATTGCATCGATGCAATGATCTGTAAAATATTAGCTCAATATGCTATCAAATCAATCAGGTTTGTAACTTGCCAAGATGCATGACTTCACGTTCTTTTTCGGCAGGGGTTGATTCAATTGTGGGATAGTAGTGTTCTTTGTAGAGATATAGTTTCAGGCGACGCTAAATCGCAATTAGCAAAGCTTTGCTGGTCATTCTCGTACTCTTTTACCAGACAGCGCAACTCATGATGAACACGAGCGATCCCATGTATCCGTCTTCATCTACCTCCACTGAGTGCTCCGGGTCTTCCTTCGCTATCACTGTCTCCTCATGTGAAATTTGAATGAGGCTTACTAGAATCGCAGATGAAAAGAGTTAGTTCCGTAATGTCTTGATATAACGATATTGCAGTACACTTACGCGGAACCAAATCTAGCCATGCCTTCAAGATGCATCCGATGGTGGTCCAACGAAGTCGTTGGTTCCAGCTAGTGCACCCTCCTTGACTGTGTGTCGAATTGCGTCGGTTGCCAGTGCTGTTGTTTAAATGAAACATCAGTCTCAGAATTCCTCTCCATCTTCGCCCATGGAAGACAGTATGGAATAGCAGGTACACGATAGCCAGAGGAGGCAGCACCTTGGCACCATGTCAACATCAAGAACGGAGCTGAAGCAATGAAATATGCGAAGAGGAAGACAACGACACAGATGAACCATGTGTTTCTTTGTTAACAAAGATAACCAGAACTGCATTGTTTTTGACAATGGTGGTCTTCGAGCCGATCAGGGGCGGGCCTTTCAGATTCGACATTGGATTCAGACCACTCTTTTCCAAGAAACCTGGAGGTATCCATCGTATGTTAAAGGTAAAGATTTGAAACATCTAGTTGGAACTCAGTAAAGAAGCAATTTTCTGGGACTGCTTGCGGATGCTAAAAGATTGAGCTTGGTTCTGAGGAGCAATGGCGAGAAGTTTGGCAGAAGTCATCTGTGGGTAAGAAGCCAGTGGGGGATGCTGTTGGGCGGTCTTGATCGCTCTTCGATCAGCAGCTGGGAAACTGCTCTAATATGCATAGCAAACAGGGCTAAAGAATGTGCCAAAGATTTGTATGACCAAATGTTTGTTTCTTCGAATCGACGACCAAATCGTGCTGCGTCTCCGGATGCACCGCTCAATTGCATGTTTCTATATTATGCAAGGTAAAGGTTCCCTCCTTCCATTTCAATAACGAGGAGTACTCAGAATCAGTTAGTTGTGTCTTTCCTGAATGTGTGATGGAAAATCTTTGTCAGAATAATGCAACGCGATCTAAATTAAGCCCGGTGATGTAACTCGGAGAACTAACCAGATGATTAAGGGCGAGGAAAATATTATTGAGAGCATCTCCTCCTTGACTTCTTTCTCTTTGTTGTTAGCTCGGGTATGACTATCTTGGGTAATAACACGATGTTGTCTATTGGAGATCTTCGATCCGCGTGATGTGTAAGTGAGTACGACTACAGTCAAACTCTTAACAGCCATCGCACTCTGGGATTCCGATCAGTACGCAGATCTTCTCTTTCAATACATTCCCAACGCACATTAACACACAATTTCTAGTGAACACGGGCCACTGAAGAAGTGAGATTAATCTGTGGCCAGTAAGATGAGAAATGCAAAATTAAGAGTATCTTCTCATCTTTATCTCATTTTCTAATTGATGAATATATAAAGGCTTCCAGATCACCCCAAAGTTTAGAGTCATCAATGAATGCATTTACATCGAGCTTCTTTACATCCTCGGGAAGATCTAGAAACAACCCCACGCTTAATCAAACACATTCACTCATTCAACTCAAGGCAACACACCTTCTTCACACTACACGAACATCGTATCAAAATGCAGTTCCAGCTCACCACCATCTTCTCCGTCCTCGCTCTCATGAGCGGCAGCGTTAAAGTACCTGCTGCTCCAACCCCAGTTAGTGCCTTTGTCTTCATTAATGAGTCGCGTGAAGCTCGTTTACTAACATTGTTTTTCGCTTCAGTCAACCCCAGCACAACAAGTTGTCTTGGAGCAATCTCGGTAGATGGAGCAGCTGTGGAAGGTGTTGAATGCTTGAAGGTTTAGAAATAAATAATATTTCTTTGTATCAATATATTACTAAATATTAAATGTGCTTTTAACTTAGATAGTGTGACACTTTTCCTTAGAAGAACTGCGAAAGCAGGGTACAATTTATCCTTAGAATCTACAGCTACAGAATAGGGAGCGAAGCGTTCGTAGAGCGCTTATTTGTACTAGGTAGCTATGACACGTGAGCGATCGCATTGCGATTGACATCAAGTACCTAGGCCTTTGTAGATTATACAAACAGTCTAATATAATTTGCGAATATATTGTATCTTTGAATTCCAACTATATTATATGAACAATATATCAGAAATTCAATAACTATCATCTACATTCTGAAATCTTAGATGTTATTCGAATATATTCAATTAACACTCTTTCGAGGACTAAATAGCTTGAAATCTAGAACCTCGTGATTATGCAAGCAGTCTGACGTAATTTGTAAACACATCATATCTTTGAAATCAACCATGTTCTAGCTCAGGGTCACTACCGGTCGACCCAGCGAGCCCAGCAATAAGGTCGACAAGGGACGATATCGAGTTCCCAATAAATATGAGAAATCGAAAGTATGAATGGATACCTTTTCTGCAGCAACCAGCCAATCACAAAGAGGAATCAAGCTTGTAGTGGGGTGAGATGGGATATTCTAGAAGGAAGCTAGTGGTGGGGTGGAGCGATGAATCAATTGATGTGTCTCCGACTACGGGTGCGATATCAGATTACAGGTACCTACCTGGATAGGTAGGGGGTTGCGGGAGAAGTATTTATATATTGAAGAGAGACAATCTTGTTGCGACCTTCCTCTTTCTATTCTCATCTTCTACAATATCATCTTACCTTTGCATTCAAGCAATCATATACTCAAACACACACACAACCCCTCAATATACAACAAATACACATATCTCAACATGTCTGAAGCAACCTTGAAGCTCGGTGACTCCCTCCCAGAGGGCGTCAAGTTTGGCTGGATCCCACCTACCCCCGAAAACGCAGATATCAAAGCATGCGGAATGCCAATTATCTACAGTGCATCCAAGGGTACGCACATGGATGAATTTCTCCCACGCCTTGCCATTCATCCTCGCTAACCATGCATAGAATGGGCCAATAAGAAAGTCGTCATCTTCTCCCTCCCCGGTGCATTCACCCCTACCTGCAGCGCATCGCATTTACCAGGCTACATTGCCAATCTCCCTGCTCTCCGCGAGAAGGGCGTCGATGTCGTTGCGACCATTGCTTACAATGATCCTTTCGTTATGAGCGCATGGGGAAAGGCAAATGGAATTCACAATGAGGATATTGTATGTTAACTCCCACCTTTCTTCTCATAACCTCCCTATCTCCCTCCTTCCTATCTTGGTCCTTCAAGAACCTTGCTAATCTTTCTCCCTCCAGCTCTTCCTCTCCGACAACCAATGTGCGTTCTCCAAGCTCCTCGGCTGGACCGATGGCGAACGTACCGGTCGCTACGCTCTCATCATCGACAACGGAAAGATTGTATATGCAGAGAAGGAGCCCGGAAAGGGCGAGGTCACTGTTTCCGGAGCCGAGGCTGTTTTGAGCAAGTTGTAGATGTTTGAAGGGACGGAGGAATTAATAAAATACTAATACACATACACACATATGATTGAGAGCGAGATTTGAGCATGAGTTATAGATTAGATGGTTAGACTGGCTATATAGAAATGGATAGAGAAGAATACCATATAGATCTCTACTCTGAAGTATATGAGTGTTGCTTAGTGATTATTCTAATGATGCTTTCCTATCTCTCAATCCAATCACATGCGTTCGTAAGTTGGACTGATACTAATACCTCGAAGTTACCGAACGGTTAAGTTCAACAGTTTCTAGCCTCCGAATATAAAGCACAAGCCATCGCTGACTACCCTTTCGAGCAGTCTCCGATACTGAGCCCCCAGCATGCGATATCGGTATTTACATGCATGCATGCTGTATTGAGCAGAATATATGAATATCAGATTGAAAGTTTCTCATCTATGTGTCATATGAAGTGGATTTTCGGAACGGAAAGGGGATTTAAGAATGACGCGTCGGCCTAGAGTCTCAAGTGAATACCTACCTCTACGTGTAATCCCTTGGTATGGGATGTGATATGTGAGATGCTGCAAAAGAACAGTGGAGATGCACAATGGCTTGGTATTCCGAGCGGTAGGAAATACATGAAGGAGATCTTGCAAAACAGGAGAATGAGTTGTTTTTTAAGACTCATTTTGGGGAAGGTGCAGATTTGGATAGAATAGGGATATACTTATATCACACTCGTTCAATCCCATTCCATGTACTACGAATAGCAACTCCTCACATGCCATAAATATTGCTTTCTTCTCAAGACATCTCAAAATCATGAGTTCATAACGTGATGCTTATTTTCGCACCTCCTTTCGAAGCTTTATCTTCATCTTCTCTTCATGGGATATGTACAACGACCCCTTGCCTTCACTTTCTATAGCGATTTGAAGACTTCCATTTTATGACTCTGATTTTGACAGATCTGTACCCGTAACTTCATTCGTAACCTCTTGTCTATTGCTGGACTAATCCTGTAACCTTGTCCTCGATTTCTTTATCCGATAGTCCTGCATGGGGTTGTATTAGCATTTGTCTTATGTTCAAGCATTGTAATCTCTCTATTCCACATTCTCTCTCGTTTCTTCCGATTCTCAGCTCCTGGGCTCCCATCTGCATCTCCGACTCATTGCCATCCCTCTTCGTTTCGCTCCGCCCCGCCCGCTGCAATTCCCCTCATACCCATCTTCGAATCTCTCCCCTCCTTCTCTCATGCTCACTTCAGTCAAATCACCCTATCGTCCTACCTCCTATCTAGCCCTTTCCAATGTTTCCCCCAAACCGAAAATTCCTCCAAAGCCCATGCCCATGCCCATACCCATAAACGATAAACCATACACTATAAACCACATGACACAAAAACCGAAAACAACCTACCAGCCAAATCCTCACAGACCTCTCTTCCAAACTCATATCTTGCGTAAACCTTTGGTTGTGCACCAGCCGCCTCTCTCAACATTATTGGTGTATTTGGGTTGTGCTTTTTCATCGTTGGGTATGTTCTTGCGAGGAATGATCTAGAGCGGGGGTTATCAGATCTAGCTTTACTGCAGGAAACCTAGCAGACAGTCTGGGGGAACCGGTGGGAAAGAAAATCTGCGCGGTGAAGATACGGGCAGAGTATAAGTATATGACAGGAAACCATACCTAGTAGCATTACTATGAGCGCCGGTCTGACAAAATAAAAATCTGACTTCCTTCAAGGTCTGCGAGAATGCATATTTGGCCGACATATTGGTAGATATCTTTTCTTTGCTTTCTGAACAATTTCTTGTCTATAATCTCTTTTCTTTGTCCGCGCAATACAGTTTCGAATTGTGGAAAGTCAATGGTTCGTCGCAATTACAGGCTCAAGGTGAAGCTATCCGGATATTGATATTGCGCTATAAGTCCACAACGGTTACCGTAAATATGTACTTCTTACCATGATTTTCCATTGGATTCAGCCACAACCCTTTATGAGCAGACATAATTTCACTAGCCACCCGTGCCACCCTCCGGACGGACTCCGACATCAAGGCACAACAGAAAGTGTTCAACAAAGTTTGACGAGCCAGAGAGCTGGATATTCGGATTTGGTTGATTTAATAAGTGAAGATTGTATTTAAATCAAATTAAAAGAAGTAATTGTAAGTGATTAATCTCTGGCATTTATTTTATTTTCTATTCCAATTTTAGTATATTCGAACAAGAAGGGGGAAGAGTGAAGCTTGCTTTGAGAATACATAGAACGGACAAATGATATATGAATACTAAACTCCGGCATAGCAACAGTTATTTCCATCCGTCTACGATACTTCAAGAACATAATACCCCAATCCATTCCATCAACACTCTCACACCTTACCACCTCACCACCTCACACATAACCATCATGTCCCCTTCAACCCTCACCCGCGCTCTGCGCTTCAACCCAATCTCTATCAACAAATTCGTTTCCTCGACTTCCTCCTCCAGCAGCGCCGCATCTCGTTTCTTCACCTCCAACTCCTCGTCTGCGCGCCAATACTCCACATTCAGAAATGCATTTGCACGAACTCGTTTTGCGGGAAAGCAAACAAAGAGATTTCAAAGTACAGAGGCCGCTGCTGCCACTGCAACTGCGCAAGTTAGTTGGTTCAAGAGAATGTGGGATAGTCCGATTGGTTTGAAGACTGTGCATTTCTGGTAGGTTTGGGTTGTTTTTCTTTGCTTTATGAATTGGAATGTATTTGAGCTGGTCGGTGGGAAATGGTACGTGGGGAAGGGTATGCCAGGAGGAGGAGAGAGCATATGTTTCATGGGGGGATTTCTCGTAGATGGGAGACGACAGCATTTGGAAATACTGGGAATTGCATATTGCACAGCACATTGCCAAAGATACGAACAAAAGCTAACAATGTTTGATATAGGGCTCCTGTCATGAAGGTATACAAATTCCTTATCACTCCTCAATTAAATATCTATCAAATATGAGCTACTTCCAAGCTCCCAAAGACTCTCCCCGCACATAACCCACTTCCTAGCCCCAAGTCACCCTTTCAAAGCGGTTGATCAATAACTAATGTCTCAATCAGTGGGCACTCGTCTTAGCCGGTATCTCTGATCTTGCTCGTCCCGCCGAGAAGCTCTCTCTCACCCAGAATGCTGCCCTCACTGCCACTGGTATCATCTGGACTCGATGGTGTTTAATCATCAAGCCAAGAAACATTCTGTATGTTCACTTTTTCCAGTCCTCCTTCAAATGCAATATCATTGCATTATTGCACACAGAACTAACAAACCCAAAGTCTCGCAACCGTCAACTTCTTCCTCGGCATGGTCGGTGTCGTCCAAGTCACCCGTATCCTCCTCCATCAACGCAGCGAAAAGAACAAATCCCTCGCCGACAAAGCAGCAGAGGTCGGGCACGAAGTTAAGGGAAAGGTCGAGGATGTTGTTAAATCATAAATATATATCCCACATGAAAAACATGATATGGGAGAATAGCTCTTTCCCCATGGATAGCCAAAGGAACTCCTCATAGAAAACCGCAAACAAGAACATACTCAAGTCCCAAAAAGAGAAAACTTGCGAACTTTCTTTCTCTTCTACTTTTCGTTCGTTCTGGCGAATAGGTAGATAAAGAAAACTTGAATTGAACAAAACGTAGTACAGAGAATTTCCTTGGCGCGAGGCTTCTTTTCTATTTGGCCCTTTTTTTCTTCTTCTTGCAATGCGATGCCATACAATGCGAAATCTACATTCTGAGGTATATGAAAGGGGGTAAAGTAAATTTCGATGAATTAGTTAATAATTCATTATAGATAGCTTTAGCGTGGATGAGTGTGAAGGATGGAAGGGGAGAGGTGGAATTGTACACTACTATACCTAAGTTTCACCAATTCGAAAATTGTTTCTTTCTTTCCTTGTCACTTTGTGGTTGTGTTCTTGATACTTTGTGCTATGTGGAACTGGTATGATAGGGAGGGGGGTGTGGTTTGGCGAGAAAAGTCGCGTGTCTAATTCACCTAATCTCAGCTCCATATCACCTTTCGTCTAGCGAAGGATTTATGACAAGGCTTCTGCAATGATTTTGTGATTTTGTGATTATGTAATTTTTATTTGATTTATTCGATTTCTTATCATGGTACTGTACATTTGTACACACATTTGACCTCCACTCCAATCTTTTTTCCTCTTCTCCCTCCCCCACTGCACCAAATACCCAGTACACTTCCTTCACCCGCTCCTCCACTACACGTCCATATCCCATACAAAGCCAGCAAAATACACATACACATCCACCCAGCTACTACTCTAGTCAGATTCATGCATCATATCGCCCTAATCCATCGACCCATTCCATTCCAAATATATCCAACGCCCAAAAATTCCCATCTTTCTAATCATCTCTAGATCCATCCAAATATGCTCCGAACGCCATGCCAAAATCCTGATATCAATAATCCACTCTTTCGTTTCCTCATCCATGTTGTCATCCTCATCCATTCTCATGTTTCATTCTCTCTTCTGAGAATCAGCCAGTTCTGTCATCCTCCCCATATTTACAATGCACACTTCCATCCTCCAACCAAATAGAAAGAGAAAATATTTCCGTCTACATAACAGAACATTCCTCGTTATTTTTCTGATTAGCCCCTTTAGATCTCGAGATCCTTTCTCTACCCTTGTTACTCTGCTTTCCACCATTTCGTTTAAGCTCCTCGAGCTTTTCACGAGCCTTAGGGAAATTTTGCGCTACATCATTTATCAGCCATAAACTCTCAAGAATTATCCTAGAGAAAGGAAAAGAAGGACAAGGAGCTGTGATGAAACAGAAAAGATAAGAAAACCTACCGGCAGCTCTCCAATACCACCTCTTAGCATCTTCCAAACTCTTTGGCGTACCAATACCCTCCTCACAATAATAACCCATAGCATATTCAGCCTTAGCTAATTTTGCCATTGCTGCCTTTCTCGCCCACAGATAGGCCTCTGTATCACTTTGTTGCAAAATGTTTTCGTGGCCTGTCAAGTACCAACCACTAAGTGCCAATTCACTTTGATGTTCCTCCTGGACCGCAGCTTTAGAATACCATAAAATAGACTGCCTAGCATCAATTGGGCAATTGAATTGACCATACTCGAAAGCTTGGCCCAGGCGGAATTGTGAGAATTTATAACCGAGATTAGCCGCTTGTTGGAAAAGCTGGAAGGCATATGCTTCATCGCGAACGAGAGATGTATTTTGACCTTGTGGTGCTTCGTATAGGAGGCCTAATTCGTGTAAAGCGTGGGGATTTTCAGGATCTGCGCGTTCAGCAGCTCGTTTAAGCCAAACAACAGCTTCGCCAGGGTTGATTGGTTGACCCAGAAGTCCTTTTAGTTGAATCATACCCATTTTATACATGGCAGGTGTGTCTCCAAGAGTGGCAGCGCGTCTGTACCATTGAATAGCTTTGAGGGGATCTTTACGAGTACCACCTCCCTCCTCATTGCCAAGTTCACAACAAACTGCAGTTCTGTATGCAGCTTGTGGATGATTGAGCTTTGCAGCAGATTGGTAGAGGGTAAATGCTTCCTTCTCGTTTACTTCGAGCCCCAACGCACCACGACCGTAACAATCTGCAAAATAGAACATTGCATCTGGATGTTGAGCTTCTCTCAATTTCTTAAGGACTTTGGTAGCTTCAAATACATACTTTTCTCTTGCTTTGTTGCGTGCTCGTTGATCAGCAAGAGGCGCAACTAAAACATCTGAAGCTTCGACCAATTTCTTCACGAAAAGTAGAGGAGTCTCGTGATCATTTGGATTACCATTCTTATACTTCAGTCTCAGACGATCTAGCTCGGCCTGAGTTACTGGTTGTGCGGGAGCTTTTGTTGGAGTAGGGCCTGCAGGGGAGGAACCATTGGATACCGGTATCGGAGTATTTGATTGAGGTGGAGGATTAAAGCCCCCATAATTGCGCATGGGTGGCGGTTTAATATTTTGTTGTTGTTGAGCGAAAGAATTAGGTATTAGACCAGCTCGGACAGGAGGAGCATGAGGAGGTAAACCACCTTCTGGGATGCCTTGCTTTTGTAGACTATTTTGACGACCACCCTGAAAGCCTCCATTCTGTGGACCAGGGTAACCGCCATTCTGGGGCGAAGGGCCATTCGGATACCCTCCAAATTCAGATTGTGGCATTCCACGACCAGCTCCGGGGGCTGCAGACATACTTCTTGGCGGTGGTTGAAACTTTGGTGCTTGAGGAGGATATGGGTCATACACTTGATCTTGTGGCACGCCTTGATACTGGTTATATTGGGTATCTTGTTGTCCCCAGCCATCTTGATAACCTTGCTGTGGCATGCTAGGAATTGGTGGCGCATCCCCTGCCATTTCAAAAATTGCCGTTTGAGCTTGAGCTTGAGCTCTGAAATCCGGTTGAGATTTTACAGGTTTGACTTGACGTAGGTTGCCATTCCTTTCCATTGGATCAAATCCAGGCCCAAGTCCACCTGTTCCAGGTTGAATATGGGCTTCAATCGAGGTACCTCTTCTATGTAGAATTCTCTGTGGGGCCGCATCAAAATCTGGCATTTCCGCAGTATGATTATGTATAGGAGGTGGAGGTGGAGCTTCATAATATGCATCATAAAACTGACCAAGACTTTCATCCGGATTGTGGTCAACATAAGGATTACCTTGATAACTATCCTGCTGGTATTGCTGTTGAGGTGGAGGTGGAGGTGGTTGAACAGATTGTTGGCTTGGGTATGTCCTTTGTGGTGGTGGCCTTGATCCGGTAGCTGTAGCAGGTCTAACAGGCATACTACGTCCAATAGGCCCATTATATGGTGCACTCATCCCTGGAGCTTCAATTGAAGAAGTCGGAGGACCATTTCCCATGGGTCCAGGATCATCTGGCAAAGTCATGCTTCGTTGTGGAGGACCAAAATTTTCTCGATCATCTCGAACTGGTGACATGGGATTTCCATATTGATCATAACCACGATCTCCATAACCATTCTGTCTAGGTGCACCGCCATATCCTTGTCCTGGAGATGGACCGCCTCTCTCTGGGAAATCTTGTCTGGGTGGACCTTGAGTCATACTCCTTGGTGGTAGACCTCTTCGTTGATCTGGTGTCCCTTGAGGTGGATATCCTCCTCTTGGTGCACTCCCTTGACTGTCCATTGAAGGTCGGCCATAATCATCAGTAGACATACCCCTCTTCGGTCCAAAGTTATCATGACTTCCTCTACTTCCAGCAGTTCCGGGCCTTTTTGGTGGGGGACTCGAAATATCTATTGCACCCAATCCTTTGGTAATTTCCTGTTCTGTGGACATTGCTGTTTTCTTCTTTGCTCCTGGAAATGAAGGAAAAGGACTATCAAAAGATGATGCTCCAGCTTCTGGAGATCTAGGAGGTGTCACTAAAGGTTTCCGAGGTCGTTGTTCTAAAAATTAAGTCAACATAAACATTCACTTCATACGACTTCATTCCACTCACGTCCTGGTGCAGGTCTCATACGGTCATCCATTGGTCTACCATTTCCATTCACAGGACCGTTATTTGGAGGATACCCACCTCCCTGTGGTCCTCCATGCCCAACACGATTTGGAGGAGGTCTTTGCATTGGTCCACCTCTACCATTGGGAGCAGGTCCACCTCCTCTGGGTGGCATCCCACCTCTGCCATTCGCAAATTGTTCTTGTTGTGGAGGATAATTTTGATTTGGTGGATAACCTCTACCTTCTCCATTAGAGTTTGGCGGATACCCCCTTCCGCGTCCCTGCGCATTTGGAGCATAACCACCTCTCCCCCCTCCATTCACATTTCCATAACCACCCCCAATCATATTTCCTCTGCCTCCGCCATTCATATCCTGATACCCAGCATTGTAATCTTGTCCATATCCATTATCGTAATTCTCATATCCATAACCCCCTTGACCATAGTCATCATATTGTTGTTGTGGATATTGTTGTGCGGGAGCCTGTTGATATCCTTGTGCTGGACCTGGTCTTTGGGCAGCTCGTCCATTATATGGCCTCTGTGACTGTTGCTGGTATCCCTGATCATATGACATGATTTCCTCTTCTTGTCTCTCCTTCTTATTCGATCCAACCTCGATTGCCCTTGCCCTTGTGTTCTTTGGCGCAAAATCTTAAGCAGCTGTCATAACACTACAACGATCAATCCATGGAAACCAATCCCTTGAAAAATCTATATTTTCTTAACCAGAAATTTAAATAAGCTTGAAAACGCGGTCTGCAACCAAAAAATTGAGACTGTCGCTGTTGGAAAGGGTTGATCAATCAATGTTTCGGGAATTGGTTCACTTCGTTCCAGGTAGGAAATGTTGTTATAACTCCACAACGCAACTCAAGTTTGAGGATTGTCTCGGTATTTGTTCGCAGGAAAAGCAGTACTTGTGAATGTAAAGGGTGATAGAAGAGAAGACTTGAGTGAGGGTCTCTGTCGATTATGATCTTTCTGAGTTGAAAAATACAAAAAGAATGCGCAATGTTATTAGTTAGTTGTGAATTTTGAAGAGGGTTTTCAATGTTCAAGACGGCTGGTCGGCTTGGGTGGTTGTCTCAGAGAATGCGGAGTGGGGGCGAGGCAGGGCAGGGTAGGAGGGCAGGGGCGCTAACAAGGTGGATGGGGATGGGATCAATCAATACGCAGTACAGAGTATACGAGATGAGATGTGTGTGATGTTTGGATATGGGACGTTATCTCGGTCAGATATTTCGATTTGCTGGCGACAATTCTGATTCTTCTCTTGTTTGTCGTCTGTTGCTGCGCCGGTCTGTCGCGAAATGGAACCACAATAAGACGACTTGAGAAGCTTAAGAAGCTTCTTGAATGTTGTTGGTTGTGGTTGGTTCTTGTTGAAATGTATGGAGTCTATTTTCAGTCACTAACTTTGAAGATTCCGATATTCCGACTTCTTGGACTCTTGGCTGCTGGCTATCAAAGTTATGTCGTTGTGTTGTCGGTGCAGGAGAGGAAAGTTACTCGGTTCCTCTGTTGTTGACAATGTTATGTTCATGCGATAGTCAAGTTCGTCTCAGGTGCAAAGAGGGAAAGGTCGTATTTCGGATAGCCCCTTGGTAATATATCTGATGGTAGGTATCATCAGTCACCTAGTCGCATACACCGCACATCACATAGCATTATTGAATGGGATATTTAATCTAATCATCGTTCTATTATTCATATGCATGCAACTTCAACCCTTTGAACAATTTCTCGCGCGTTACACATATGACAAGGGGGTTTAACTTTCCCATCATCACTCACCAGCCGCCATAACTGGAGTCAGGTCCGAGTGAAGAATGATTGGTTGTCGCATTATAACCAGCATGTTGATGGTTACTCCACGAGATTCATAAGATCCACTGTATCAGAGAAGATATGAGAAACATGGCGTTCAGAGACCAAGTTTACATAAGATGCCAAAGATCTTGGATCTTGTGATGTTATTGAGTTCAGCTGAGATCAAGGGGCTTGTGTCTTTGAATCTTCGTCATCAATCATCAATTCAAGCTGGATGAATGAAATTGATGAAGAGGATGAGGATGAGGATGAGGATGAGGAGGTTGATGTGCTTGAACTAATCTGGGCTTTGAATAGAGAGTCATTCTGTAACGGCATTACGACGTAAGAGTTGAGGCCCCGGCTTATTGCACACTAGCCGAAAACATACCAAAAACCTTCATTTCTTCAACTTTTGAACTATATATTATTTCAATAAATATAGAAATTAAATTATCGAAATTGATATATATTATAATTAATTATTAAAATTATTCAAAAAAATGAATGGATTATTTTTAGTATTTTTTTTGATATAGTTGTAGGTTTTTAAAATTAGAATTTCCAAAAAATCCAAAAAAATCGATTTTTTTGTATGGGAAAAACATTACATGTAATAAATTTCGAAAAATTTCAACTTTGAAAACCTATAACTATATCAAAAAAAATGCTAAAAATAATTCATTCATTTTTTAAAATTTCAAATATAATAATTTCTTATATAAGAGATTTTCAAATCAACTCTTTAATTATTAAATAAATTATAAAAGAAATAAGTTTATATGAAAAAACGACTTTTTTACAGAGATTTTGTTACGAAAAAGGGTAGTGTGCGATAAGCCGGGGCCTCAACTCTTACATAATTAGATGTCTTGGCCATCCGAAGTTGATGAATGCAGAGAGATAGATATCAATGCGTGGAATGTATCAGGTATTTATGGCATTTCCGAGGTAGATACTTGTGTACGTACTATCTTGACTGCCGGCAGTTGCTGTATGAAAATCATGAAATATAACAAGTAGGTCTGGATGTGTATCTATTCCTGATCATTCTACCCGGTATTGATTACTGGGAAGAGTATTGAGTGAGAGAGCATCATCAGCACCACCTAAAATCTCATTCAGTAAGCACCCTCAATGCAATGTTCTCTTCAATATAGCCTCATATCCAGAAATGGTTCAGCCATGTTCAAGTTCATGCTCATGTTGATGCTCATGCTCATGCTCTTCTCATTTCCATCCCATCCCAGTTCCCCCATAACCCAATCACATCAACTAAAAACTGATGAAATCACTCTTCTCCAATTTGTCTCTCCCTACGCCACCACAGCCACAATCTCTCTTAAAAAGCACAGCCACAACAAGCTCTGATCCCGGGGCCCAGCCTCTACGTAACCGAAAAAAGCGGCGGAAATTGACCACTATTCAAATGAATTTCAACAACTAAAATCTCTTCTCGATATAATACTAAATAATAAGAACACTTGATAACAATACAAGAAATACTCAAATTTTCATTCGATTTTTTCAAATTTCAATATTTGATTTGAAATGAATTTATAATCTATTAAAAAAGATCTTTGAAAGGGTACTCAATTTGCGCCGCTTTTTTCGGTTACGTAGAGCCAGCTTTGAACCGAAAATCATCATGTCATTGATCAAATTATCAACTTCTAACTACATCACCGAAAACAAATCAGATATTACAATCGCCGACCTAATTTTTTGATTTTTATACCTAAGATACAAAAATATATTGAATTAACAAAAAAGCAATTATGCCACCAAAACCCACCAACTGGCGCATGTATGGCAAGATGGCTGTTGCGTATGTTTCCCTTCCTATCCCTTACTCTTTCTCACTCTCGATTTCTTCCCACATCTTTCCCATTGTCCCCCTTTCCAAAAACAAGAACAAAGTGCTAAACCCTCTGTTATTAGCGGCTTAACGTGTTGTGTCGGCGGTCCAGCTCTGATCTACTACGTTTCTCCAACAGAAGAAGAACTCTTCCTGAAATACAATCCAGAATTACAGAAGCGCAGCTTGGAGAATCGAGTAGGGAAACAAGAGGATTTCGATAACTTCGTGGCAAGATTGAAGGAGTATAGTAAGACTGATAGACCAAGTAAGTTTATTTCTTGGGTTATTTGTTTTAAGAAGGGAAAGCTGGGGAAAGATGGGACTAGGGATGAAGAGGATTTCCAGAAAGATCAAAGAAAAATTCTACAAGGAGAGACACATGAGGGCTTTTACGAATTGCAATTACACTTGACAATCAAAAGAAATATACTAATCTCCATCCACAGTTTGGGTCGAAGCCGAAGAAGCCGCACGCAGAAAGCGTAGTGGAAAGATAGAAGAACAAGCCAAATTGATGCAAGAGATGCAAGAGAGGAAAGAAGAAATTAAGAAGAGTGGAACAAAATTGATGCCCGGTGGAAGTCTTTAATTGCAATTAAAATGGCAAAGGAATGAAATTTGTACAACTATGGATGGCGTTTGGTTGCATATTGTCTTTGACGATGGAAGGTCCAAGTTTGGCGCAGAAATGGGGAATGAAAATCTCAATGGGTGGGTTTTGAAGCTGCACAGCTGTATAGCTGCTATGTATGGTATGATATGATACGATATTGATATTACGTTTACTTGGAAGGTCGAGGTCTTCAAATACATCTTGATCTAAGACATCTCAATGCTGTGTATTTTCGGCTCCTAAGGATTCTTGAATTTCAAGCATTAGATATAATAATTATATGAAGTATTGGGAGAAATCGAGAAACCTTTACGTGCTGCATTTCCATCATTGCTACCAATAGATCTCCAAAATGATAATGAATATCACACATCATATAGCTCAATTCCTCCTCCCTCTCGTCTGATACTGATTAGCAAATCTCTCCAATTCCCATATTCCTCCCCTCTACACAAGGTCAAAATTCGATACACTTGGTGAATCTCATAGATGTCGCATGTAATATCGACAAATAAACCCTCATCTCATCACTCGAATTTATTTACATAATCGTATAGCATAGCATACTAGTAAAATACCTTTAATAGTTGCAGAAGAGAAGATGGAATATTCACATCACAACAATATACCGTACTTACCGTACTCATTATCGATATATTCAAACCCAGCAAACAGAGACATACTCTCACTCTGGACGGAAAAACGGACACACCAAAGCCGCCAAAATCAAGACTTTCTTCAAAACACTATTAATTCAAAACTCAATAATAATTTGAAATAATATAGTAAACTAGATATAATAAAATTATATTATAGAATATCAACTTATAAATAATCTGCTTCAAACAAAAATTAAAAATATCGATTATTGATTTAAATAGATAATTTTGGAAATAATACTGTTTTTTCGGTGTGTCGTTTATTTCGTCCAGAGTGAGATACTGTACCCTCACCGGTAACCAAACCAAACTACCCCGCCCCACCCGATGCAACACAACCCCTCTCTGGAAAATTCTTTCACCCCACTATAAAACTTCTTTATATACACTAAGCTCGATGGTTTCTTCAACAAACACTACTCATCCATTAGATGAATCAGGCCTGCTGGCCCAATGGCAAGGCGCTTGACTACGAATCAAGAGATTGCAGGTTCGATCCCTGCGTAGGTCAATTTTTTTGCTGTTTTTTTGGTTGCTGTGTGTGATTTGTGGATTTTGTTTTATTTTGTTTTGTTTTGGGGGAGATGGGAGATGGGAATGAGAGATGAGAGATGGATAGGAGTGGGAGTGGTGATTGTTTGGAGGGTTTGGAAGGAGGGGAGTGAGAGGATTGGGGATTGGTGGGGTAGATAGTATATGAAAGGAAGGAGAGGGGGAGGAGTTGATTAGCGATTGAGAAATTGATTGATTGAATGATTAATAGAGGGATATGTCGTAGGGGTGGTGTAATTTTTAAATGTACTACGTTTAATATATATCGATAGCTAAAATCGAGTAAATTGAATTATAGATTCCATAGTATTATTCTATCTCTTATAAATTGTATTATATAGAAGTTCTAGAGTTTGATATGAGAATAAGAATGAGAATATTTATATATATAGTAAGAGTATAATATTTATCGAATAGTTATCTACTTACTATAGATATATATAGAAAGAAGATAATAGATCTTAATTAGAGTATAGGAAGCTGCTCTTTCTTAAGAGATGAGATACTAGTATATATCTTAATCTGAATTAATTTCCCGCGAAGATTCAAGACTTAGAGTAGGTAAGAAATATCTAGTAATTAATTTACTTACTAACTTAGAGATGAGAATAGATAAGGAGAGTAAGAGGAAAGCCTTCCTATATTTATCTGAGATCAATTCTGGAATTTAGATTCAGAGGAGTATATATATATATTCATTTAGATTTTACATCTACTCTTGATTTTTCGCTTAGATTCCTCCTTTTCGTCTTTTAAGTCTCTTATGATTTTTCTTCTCTTTAATTATTATTTCGTATTTTATATCTTCCCTTCTGTTTACTTTTTTGTTTTATTATTCTTATTTCTGCTTTTCCGATCCTTAATAATTCTACTTATATCCTCGCTTCTTTTTGTTTTTTCTTTGCTCCCTTTTCTCTTTCTCAAACGATACATTTTCTCTTGGTTGTATGATATTCTTTTGTGCTTCTTCTAAAATCTCCCTCACTCACTCATCACCTCTCTCTCCAATTATTTTCACCTCCATCTGAATGTTAAATACTAACACATCCTCTACATCCCATTTCGTCATTCTCATTCTCATCACCTCTCTCTCCAATTATTTTCAACTTCAACTGAATGTTAAATACTAACACATCCTCTACATCCCATTTCGTCATTCTCATTCTTATCATCACTATCTTTGAGAATCCGCAAGATAGAACAAATTCTTTAGTTTTATTCTATCATATAATTATAATCTCTATCAATTCCTCTTCCTCTTCCATCCAATACTTCATTCTATAACCCATTAAATTAGACACACAATGTGAATCATGAAATAACCTCCTGAGCATCTAGTCTACTCGAGGAGATGCTGAACACATACAACATCAACATACTCTTTAGTTAGTATGATATTCATCCTCATATAAAGAGGAAAGACTCATGGCGTATCTGAGATATTAAAACTGCCATCCGGAATTCTCTCCTTACAATTAAAATGAAGTATTAAGTAAACCGTCGACAGAGAATCCTGTAAGAAATCCACAAACACACACATATATATATATATAAATCCGCTCATCCCTTAGAGATCATACCAAGAAACACCCAAATATCTCTTCTTTCCTCATATCCTCTCCAATATGAAAGATACCGACTCCCAACTCTTAACCCTCCAATTGACCTCCATTCCCTATCCCCTCCTATCTGCCCATTTATAATTTCCCTCCTTTCCCCTATCCCCTCTCTCAATCCACCCTCCCACAAACTCAACATCCTCCCCAAAAATAAAACTCAACTTATCACATACATCCAAACAACCATATCACCCCACAACAAACTCTCCCCAACCCCATCCATCTAGCTCTCCCTATCTATCCCCCCTATTCAACTCAAAAAATACATCCCAATCTCAAGAATGACGAGTCGATCTGTGAGAGACATTCTAGATCAAACTAGAAGATTCAAGATATCCATTCTTGATTCATTTTTTCCGATTTCGGATGTGCGTATGGATTTTGGAGGGATGTGCAAACTTCGTTGTATGCATAATTAATGCATTGTTAAAAAAATCTACCTGCCTACCTACCTACCTATCTAGGTAATGAGTGAAAATATACATATCCACTCTGATCAACCCAAATAGTAGATACGTCATTACCTACACCCCCTAAACATCATCCAAGCATCGCACATCAAGAGATATTAATCTCCACTCCTTTCCTCTCACCTCACCTCACCTCGCCCCATCTCATCTCACCTCATTACATATCATCTATACACACATACAGTACATCACCGTAAACCCATACCAAACATCTTTACCTACCCACCCAACAGCAAGACCAAGTTCAAGACCGAGAAAACCAATCATTTTACTCACTCCATGGATCTCTCATTCGCTGTTCTTCGATGTAAATTTGTAACCCCCCCCCCCCCCCCCCAAAGCACAGCAGCCACACAGACAAATTCGTCAACAACTCGTAGACACAGAACAGAGTCTCAGACCCACCAATTTTCTCCCAAGTCACCCCGATCTGAAACCTTCATCCCCTCTTCACTCATCGCAATCCCCCAAAAGCGAGCATTCACGCAGCTCTCACGTCATACCTTCTTTCCCAATCTCCCATTTCCAATTTCCGTCCCCCTCTCCCGAAACCAAAAAACTACATCCTCTTACCATCATAATACCAATCCCCAATTCATCCTCACGCGAACCAACCCCCGCATTCTCACATCTAACATCTAATATCCCACATCCTACATTCTCACATCTAACATCTAATATCCCACATCCTACATTCCACATCCAAACCCTCAAACATCATCATCATCATCATCATCATCATCAACAAGACCGAAACCCCAACCACAAAATAAAAATCCATTTGTTGCACATCTCACCCCTCGCACCAAGCCCAAACAAGTAATTTACGAAACCCGTCCCGTCTCCGCATCCCGACTTTCAAGTTTCCAAGCACTCGGATGTTCACGCATATCCCGCAGCCAAGTCCGGATATCTGACAATTGTTGGGATGCATGGTCCCCGAGATGGTGCCCGCTGACCGGGTAGCGGGCTGTGGGCTGTGGATTGGTGTTTACTTGCCGGTTGGGTTGTGTAGTGAGTTTGATCGGGTTAATGGAGTGGAGAATGGTTGGATGGTTAGAAACCGGAATAAGTTGTTATTGGTGGGCTAAGAATGGATTAGTGAAGTCAACATCGCCGATTTGGTTTGGATGTTAGGGTTGATAGTTACATAGGTATTTATCTTCGAGACAGTTGAGATAAATCCTAAATGTTAATAGATCTATAAACTTCACCAGTTCTCAACTCAATATTAATCATTGATCAGGGAGAATCATCCAGATCCAATGTATACCAAGATACTGAGGATAGGTAGGTACTTTCTATTCGAAACATCAAACTTTTGATCCCGATATTTCTGTACCTATCTAGGTATCATTAAATAGAGAAGCAAGTTAATGAAAACATGAGACGGGATATTGAGAATACGATCAAGCTTCAACTTTCCCAGCCAGATTATTGCAAATGAGATATAACTCTCATATGAAGAAGTAAGTATACTTCATTCCCACACCACTACTTCTCATACCTCTAGCCTCTTGAATCTATCTATTCATCTAAAGTCCAGTTCTCAAAAAGAGAGATAGATCAATAGATGTAATGAATTCTAGGAAGAAATCAACGAGATACCCATCCTGTTATTTCCTATCCCAAACTCACTTCTTTCTACGTCCTTGATACATAGAAAGGACTTTCAGCCAATATAACATTGAGAACTTGAAATAACTTCAAATTCTTGTTACTGAGTATATTTCATTTCTCCGAACTAAACCCTCAGGATCTAAAGTTGATGAATCGAAGAGATAGAGATGTGGTTTAAATCGAGAAAATACAAAAACACGCATGAAACAATGATGAACTAAATACTCAACACTAATGTTTATGAACTGGTAGATGTATCGAAATGAAAATTATATAAAAGCCCGTATAACTCGAATATCATGCATGAAACATTATGTTTTCATGAAAAGAATGAGTTGAAGTATCTTGATGTATAGAATATTTAGCATTAGGATAGGA